TCCCTCATTCCCCGCTGCCTTTATGATGTTTACTCATCACAGCCAAGCCAACCACTGACCACATTTATCTAGCGCATAATAGAGAGTAATTGAATGTGAAAAGCTCATTTTTGAAGCGATGGAATATTCTATTTAGATGTCCAGGCGTGTCCGCATGTGTCATTACTTTGATATCAGCTGAATGCTGTTTCTCATTACCCTAATTAAAGCTCCTTGTGTGCCGCTGAGCATATTAGCACACTGATCTGCAGCAAACTAATGATCGGCTGGTTGATAATGTGACTTTTTTTTTTTTTCCTGTTAGCCTCTCTTATCTTGCTCTTAGTGATTATCATCAAAGATTCACATCCTCACTCAATCATCATCAGAAGCTAAAAAGAAATTTGAATAGCTCTGCTATATTCAGACTCGCTCCACGCGGGCACGCACAGCAGCTGAGAGTTCACACACAGACATGTTCATAGAGAGGCATAAAATCATGTGCACAGTCAAAGTGAGGAAAAATATGTTTAGGATCAGAGACATTAAGGGATAAAAGGAGAAGATATGTACGAGGAAATAGTTTTAGTTTAATAACTAAAGATAAGGAAGGGTGCTCACTTATTACCAAGTGTCCAGCAGATCAAACCACAACTTTGAGAAACTTCAGCTTCATATATGTCAGGAATGTCACTTTTCCACCTCTTAAAAAGACAAGACGTCAGATTTTGTCACTGCTGTGAAATTTGCTGTGATGACAAATTCCACCACAACCACAGGACAACGCTCAAAAATCATAGCAAGCTATAATAATTGGTTTTGCACTTTCATTTGGTCCACCTCAGGATTTTACAGTCTGGATTTTTCTGGAAAAAAAATGCTTTCAGTCAATAATTAATTATGGCTGGTAAGCAACAGCGCAGGCATCAAAAACATAGCAACCGAAACCAGCACACAGGAGCAATTAGGAAAATGCTAAACATTGCTTATACTTGATAGATTTGAGCTATAGCTTGTCCCCGTGGCTACAACATACCCTCTGGTTAAATTTGAACAAATCATGCAGCGAATGCAACAATGCATCTGCGCTTGAGCATTAGCCCTCCCCCTGATCCTCATACCCTCTTATAGCCGTGATTAAGAGGCACTAGGCTCACATAAGAGGCCATGCTGCCCCTCCCCACCCCCTGCTAATGTACACCAACTGTACCTATAGCCCATTATGGAGGCAGAGGAAGAGCAAATCTCTGTTTAACAGCCACACATTTAACACACACTCTGTCATCTGGCTGAGCATTGTTAGTTTGAGCTAGTCATTTCATAACTGCCTTTGTGTAAAGGTGGTGCATGAGTGTGAGGAAGTGTTTCCGTTTAAAGATTGGTATTGTGAGGCAGGGAAGGCAACGCTCATATGCACGCACACACACACACACACACACACACACACACACATGATTGATTTCCACAGAAGGAGAACCTCCACTTTCTGGAATCAAGATTAATAAGAGGCCGATCAGATCAGTAAGCAAAAGGAGGAGGACGAGAGGGAGAGAGAGGAGTGAAGAGTGAGAAAGCACTGAAGCAAGATACGATAAATACAACCGGTTTAGTCTTTGTCTGCTTTTGTCCATTGTGCACAAAGCAAAGGAGCCTGAAAACCACCTGAACACCTACATTCACACCCACAAACACTCACACTCACACACAGATACTCCCCAGATTTGAAGGCAAAGAGCAGAACAGGCAGATCAAACACCGGCTAGTTGTCAAGGTCCATACAGATGTAGAACTGAGGAATCGGACACACTCGTGAGCGTGCACAAAACTGTTCTTCTGGGACCTCGAGAGCTTTAATGACAGCAAGCTGCACTAAGAAGGGGTCAGGTGGGGAGGGGGAGTTCAGAGGCCACACACTGACACACATTACCCAAACAGGATACACACCTGCACTTATCCGCACAAAAGCGAGCAAATAGACGGACAAAGTTACATGTACAGTCACGGATACAAAACTGAAATACAGATGGAGTTTCCGTTCGTCGATGGATGCATATGCGAACACACACTCGCCGTGCAAGCACAGCCGAGAGTGTACGCTGGGGAAGGTAGGATCCAATTTGATTTGACCTTGACAGCAGAGAGAGGGGCTGGTGGGAGGGAGGGATGGATGGAGTGTAAGGAATGAAGTGATGGTGTGGGGCCAGATGCCTGTTGCAGATACTTGAGAGAAATGAGATGACCTTGAACTGATCGAGATAAATCATAGAACAAGAGACAGCAGTGTGACACGGTGACATCTGTACACATAAAACTGTGTGACAGGGATGCATCAAATGTTGAGGTTAATCTAACCTACATGTCTGCGCAGCATAATATCTCGTGCAATAAACCTACAAATCACACGGTGATTTTTATTAGAGGCTCCACTGTCATGCATATTAAAATTCTGCTTCGTTGTTATTAATAGAAAATTAAATAAGAATCAATTTTAAGTTCCTTATAAACCAGACGCAATCACAATCATTTCTTACAAGTGTAAAATTGTGATGCAACTGCAAAATAAATGCTGCCAAGAACACATTCTGACTACTGTTTTCCAGTATTACTTGATTTAAAAAAAACAAACAACAAAAAAAAGAATTTATCAAGATGATAAATTCGGTGTTTTCAATTTTAATTAATCCTTCCGAGGGAAAAATTGTTTGAAAAAAATAAAAATAAAAAAAAACAATAAAAACTTTTGCCAAGAAATAATTAACATTTATATCCTTGGAGTTTCTTTCATTAAAAGGAAATTTAGAAACATCACGGTTTATATCATTCGGTAGCAGACAAGAATTTCCTTCTCCAGATTAGCAAAACAAAAAGGCGTCCTTATCATTGGAGATGTTGTTTATTACCAACAAATCACAGATGTGCATTAACAAACAGTTCTCAGTTTCTGTTTGTTCATCTTGAGCACATTCTTAAAAACATCAGACAGCTCCCAGATGTGAATTTGTGCGGCTCTGAGATCAGCAGATAAATGGGCGATGTCGACATGCCGCAAACGCAATCTGCATATGTCATCTACAAATGTATCCCGCAGTTAATTGGAAAAATTTATTGTATTTTTACAAACTAAAGCCAAACAGCAGCTACAGTGGATGTGTTTAAGCCAAAAAATAGAATGTATTTTAATGAGCGTGTGCTTAACTGCGCTGAATCCGTGCTGGATTGAACATGTGAGTGACAACAGAATAACTACATTAGTTTATCAATCAACACAACCGGCAGCTTTAATCTGTACAGTAATTGTCGTAAACTGACATTATCCGCAACTTGTGGCAGTGAGGCATGCGATATAAAAAGTTAACAAGCAGTGAAAATGCCTTCAATGTGGAACCATTTTAAATTAGAGAAAGAAAGCAGCCCAGCATCCACTTGTAATTTCTTGTGAGGCAGCGTAAACAATGCAACTTTCAACATGACAAATTTGATATTTGTAGAGCCATTACTTACTTTGGTCAACATTTTTGTGAAATGAATGAACATATCAGAAACGTTAACGCTCAGTGATACAGAGCTACACACGTATGTCCAGGTAAACCCCTTCCTGAACTGCATGATTTTACTCTTATCACTAAATAATGAGTTTACATCAAATTTTAACATAAAGCAAAGAAAATCACTAAATGTAATTGCAACTGCATTACTTCTGTATTGTTGTTTTAAGTACTAGTATCTAGGATTCTGCCTAAATGTGTTGCTATTGGCCTGTAAATGCACCCTGCAGTCTGTCTGGTTCACAGTTCAGCATATTTTTAACCACTGAGCAATAATTTTCTTACCTGCTCTTCCCACACTGCGTCCACCCAATAGCATGATCTCTCTATTCTCATAGCATCCCACTCCCACACTTTCTTTCTTCGCATCTCTCTCCATCTCTCTTGCCTACTGACATGTACACATTTGCTAAAATATTGCAGCAAACCTGCCAACTTCTCACATTTACTATCACACAAATGAAAAAAAAAAAACAAAAAAAAACAAATGAATCATGGCAGACAAAGGGAATGGCGGGTGATATGATGCAGGAGCAATCGATCAGGCCTTTCGTAATCCATTTTCTGCTTCTTGGTGGTAGAAGAATCAGAGTGTGTGTCAGTGTGTGCATCTGTGAAATGTATTTATCAAGACAGCCTCTGTATGCAATCTATGTGTGAGTGAGAGAAAAACTTGAAGAACAAAGAAAATTCTGGGCTCTGCATTCTAGGTAATCCGAGAAGTCTTATCGGGCTCCATCAATCATTCCTACAACACGCTATCGTGGGTGAGCACTGTGGGATGGCAGTATGGGCTGGGAATGGCTAGCAAAGGGAGGGGTGGGGGGGTAAGGAGGGAAGGGGTTTTGGGGGTTGAGGCGGGGGTGTTGACAGAGTGGGACAAAGTAGGAGAGAAAACAAGGGCTGAGGGACGGGTGGGCCTCCTGCCCTGAACTTGAACTTGGAGCCGGTGGGGTCGGCGAGGGGAGGATGGGGTCAAGTGCTCAGCGCGGACGGAAAAAGAAAAAATCCAGCCGAGTGACATCAATATCTCCCCCGCTCGGAGACAGATGGGGGACAGGGGACGTGGTGCTATTTAGCAAGCTGTCTCACGAGGCAACTCCAGCATTTATCTCGGTGCCTTTTTTCAAAGTGTTTTAGCACAGGAGCCGAAGTGAGTAAATTCTGCTGTTTTGCAGGCTTGATGAAACACAGCTCAGATATGCAACAATCACACCCTAACCGAGGTGAGATTTGCTAAAAAAAAAAACCAACAACAACTTAAATCTGACACTCGTCACCACTAGAAAAGAGAACTGCGTCTTCATCTGCCACTGATAGGGAATGATATTTAAAGAGGTAGCAGATAGATAAGGAATAAAGTTCATTTAAAGGGGGAGTTGCAGGATGGTTTTTGAGACAGTTCCAAGATGCGACACACAAACACATTTATTCCCTTTGAGGGGTAAAATAGGTCAACCTTGCTGACCATCCTACCTTAGTCTGGAGATAGTGGGGGTAGTAGTATGTGTAGTGGGGGTACATTGGCTGCTGCTCCAAACGTTTTCCCATGTAGCTGGAATCCAATTGAAGGTCCTGGAGGCTGGTGATAGAAGCTCACAGGTGGGGTTACGATCACTCCGAGGGGCTGGCCTGGATCCTTTCAGACGGCTGTTTCCAAGAGTGGAGGATGCAGAGAGAGCACTCTCCTCTCGCTGGTGAAGGTGATAAATGCACAGAAGAAGGGGATGGAGAGGAGGACGGATAGTACTTGGGATTTCAGTCTGTCTACTTGTCTGGGAGCTCACCGGGAACCCTCACAAAAACATTCTTCCCCGGAAGGTCTGGAAGGAAAGATTCCTGGGAGAAGGAGGAGGTGGAAAGGAAGATATGAGAGGATAGGCAGGAGGCAGTACAGGAAACAATAGAGGGAATTGAAGAGCAGGACTGAGAGAGGGTAAAAAGAAGAGGGAAGAAGAGGATGATGAAGAGGAGGAGGGATGAATGTGTTGGGATCCGGTTGCCGGTTCCTTGCACTCTCCGCACTAAAAATTAGACTCACTCTTCTTCTCTGCTGCCCTGAACATGCCCCTCAATTTGCTTTCCAGCGTCTCTCTCTCTCTCTCTCTTGTCTCTTTTCTCTCTTCCTGTGTATCCGTTTCCCTGTCTCGGTCTTCCTCCCCCTCTCTCTTACACCAGACGAGACCCTGATCCCACGGGGAGCTTGGCTGTATCCTGGAGAACACACGCTGTCCTCTGCTCTATCCTCAAAAGACAGTGAAATCAGCGATGAACTCACACATGGATGTGGAGCTGGGGAGAGGAGGAGGAGGAGGAGTAGAGAGGGTGGTCTGGAGCTGAAGCTATGACTGCCTTTTTTTTTTTTTTTCCTCACTCTCTCTCACTCTCACTCCCTCCCTCTTTTGTTAAGCTCCGGGGATAGATAGGTAGATATCGCTGGAGCCCGGCGTGGAGGATGAGCAAAAAAAAAAAGAAAAAGCCTCAGTAAAAACTCCTCTCGCTGAAGGAAGAAGCAGATAGCCTTATCCAGACGTGCACTCACACAGAGGAAAATCCCTTCTGATCCACAAGGTGCCCCCTTCCAACTCTCTTCTCTTTTCTTCTCTTCCCCTCTGCGATCCCTCTCTCTTTCTTCTCAAGCTCTCTCCCTGACGCCTTGCTTCCCACTGAGTCTGGCAGCCGTCACTGTGTGTGTGTGGTGGTGGTAGTGGTGGTGGTGGCAGCAGCAGCGGCGGCGGCGGCGGCGGTGGTGGTGGTGGTGGTGGTGGTGTGTGCGTGTGGTATGTGTGTGACTGTGCATGTAACTGAGAGGGGAGTGTGTTTGTGTGGCTGTTGGCGTCTGCTCTACTCTGCTTGCTGAGGCATAGAGGGGCTCGGCTTCAGCGCAGCTACGCTCCTCCCTCACTCTCTCTCCTCCCTTTCTCCGCCGCTGTCTCTCGCCCACTGTGTTTATCATGGAGCTATAGAACAGTGGGAGTGGTTGGTCCTGCCCTTCTTCAAATCCCCCCCTGTGTGTGTGTGTGTGTGTGTGTGTGTGTGTGTGTGTGTTTGCACTAAATAGAAACTGAGAGGAAAAGAGGGAGACAGCGACGGGCTGTTGTGCTGGAAGGCGGAGGTGGGCGGGAGAATGAAGAGTAAGAGCTGGGGTAAAGGGTGAGAAGAGGATAAGGAATATAATTTGGAAACAGAGAGGCCCCCCTACTGGCACTCTATAGGCGCAGCAATGCTTTAACTGATCATATTTGTCACTCTCTGTTATGCACAATCAGTTGCAGTGATGTATAAATACATACAAGCACGCCGCGCTCCACACATGCACACATGCAGTGAAGGGCCCAACATGAAGTGTGTACGTAGTTCAGCGGTTGTGTGGCACAGTGACCCACTGACACAGTGCTGCCTGTTATGTGATGTAACCAGGTTTAAGTAGTGCTCTTACATAAGCACAGTGAGCCATGCATGAAAAGACTGCTCTGCCCTCTGACTACAGCTGTGTGTGTGTGTGTCTGTGTGTGTGTGTGTGTTGGAGAAAGAGACAAGGGTTGGCAGACAATACGAGTTCACTGCAGTGGAAAAAGGGGCACGAGAACAGAATGCAAACACAAAACCTCCTCTAAGATAAGGGCTTCATTTCTTGTGGGCAATTAAACTACTTTACAGCCTGTGATGCAAAAGCACATCACTGTCTTTGTGCTATTGTGCGCTCGTCTGAGAGAGAGAGGGGTTTTTTTGTCACCGTGCCCACGTGTCTGTCTATATTTTTTATAGCGTTCTTCTGTCAGCTAACGGAACACACAATAATCATATGTTTGGCTCAGAGTTATCAACAAAGCATCTTCCAAAGCAGCACGTACAGTAGAGGGTTGTTGCGTAAAATTAAAAATGCAAGCAGTATAGAGTTAGAGCGGGTACCCACAACATGCTGTTTTATCAAGATGAGAAGTTTGACCCAGATTAGGACACGCCAGAAAAGATAAGAAGCAGCATTTAAATGGGCACCAACCCTCTCACGTTATTCTATCCATCATAACGTATGCTTAAATGGCCCGGGGGATGAGCATTAATGCTGCACATCTGAGAAGTGGGTAAACACCGTGTACTCCACTGATGATGACAGTGTTTATTTTCCTCAACAACTATGTGATTACAGGCAGAGGTGTTGCCATAATTTGCCACTGTCTTAATTGGGTTTTTCAGTTAATCGGGACAGTTTCCACTTGAATCTTGTCTTACTTCGGCGCTGGTGTGGGGAGGCGGCTCTGATTCATAACCTATAACACAGTGCAGCAGTAACATCATGCCTGGAGGCGAGCCTGGACTCGGCACTGTGAATCACTTGTATTTTCATTTTCATCTGTATTGCCTTGTTAACCATGTGACAAATTGAGTTTATTTATTCCACGTACTGAAACAAGTGCATCCTCAGGACTGCATACATTACATGCTGCAATTTGTATACAATGGGCGTTTTGGCTATGCATTAACACTTGATCTGTGTAATTGCGTTTTTGTGTAAATGTTGGTCATGTTTAATAAGATGGTGCACGGGTAAATATTCTGTCCTTGCTGTGCTGCTGTGAACTTGAATTCTGCAGATATGCTGCCAGTAGGTTTTACACAGTGTATAAATGCCATATAATGAATCACAGGGTTTTGTGATTACTGCAGTGGTGGACGAAATTATCAGATCGTTTATTCAAGTACTAACATCACATTGTAAAAATACTCTGTTACAAGTAGAAGTCCTTCATTTAAAATGCTACGTAAGTACAACTATGCAGGTATATTTAGGAAAATGTACCTAAAATACAAAAATTTAAAGCACTCCATGCAGAAAATGTCCCTTGTGATGTATTTTGAACGATTTTGTATATCACTACAACTAATAATTATTATTACTTTGGAAGAATTCTCTATTAACTGATTGTTTGGTTTGTAATAATTCTGAAAATAGTGCGAAATACTGTTATATCTTGGAGGCCAGCGCATAACTTTTACCTTGCTTGTTTTGTCCAATCAACAGTCCAAGCCTCTAAATTATTTGTAGTGAAAATATGATAAAACTATGAAAATAATTACAAGAAAATCTTCATATTTGTGAAGCTGTAACCATGAGATGTTTTTACATGATAATTAGTGGAACATTTAGCAAGATGGTTGCAAATTAATTTTCTTCTTTGTTAAACTAATTGATCTCAGTTGTACCCGTACAAACTGTAGGAAAGTTTATTTATCAATAGCAAAACATAATCTTTTAGAAGCCCTTTATATGTGTTGTGTCCAAAAAATAAAGTAAAAATGTAGAAGTACCTAGTAACTAATGCAGTGCAGTAGAAAGTACAATATTTCCTTCTGAAATGTAGTTTAGTGGAAATAGAAAGTGACATTTAAAAAGACCTAGACAGCATCTAAAGTGTGTATTTTACTACTTAAAAATGCACCTGGTACATTCCACCACTGGATTACTGATAACAGTGTAGTCTATTTATCATCGGCAGTAGTGGCAGACATTCTCTGACATCCAAATGATCACACAAAGGAAGTCAGCCATCAGGTAAACGGCTGCTCAGCTGACAGTGGATACGCTGGACTTGAAATAAGAGTCAAGAAGTGACTCAGTTATCAAGTGAACACAGCTGTAAAAGTCAGACTGAAGCCATCAGCTGACAAGTAGTTAAGATAAACACAAATGCATACATCAAATACGCTCTTCTGCCTCCGCGCACACACACTCACCAGATGAAAAGCTGCTTCTAATTAGAGATCAGCAGCGTTATTGCAAGAAGAAGTACAGAAAACAGCGCTGGCACTACAAAGAAAGTAAAGCGAAGCTAACAGCTCCGTGAGGCTGTAGTTACACCCAGTGCTGCTTTGGGTTAAAACGCCAACAGTGCCCTCAATGACACTGGTAACATGCTGTTATTTAGCAGGTATAATGGCTACTGTGTTAACCGTATATGTTGATTGTTGCTAATTTGCACTAAACACCAACTACAGATGACGCTGGTCAGAATATCAGCAGTTTGCAAATATTTTGTCATCAGTCTTGACCTTATGGTGGCACTGAATGAAAAGTTATTTGCAAGGGAGCACTAATATAATAACAATTTCTGAGTGAAACCTGAATCAGGTTTCATGGCAATCCTTCCTACAGTCGAGACACTTCACTCACTGCACTAGATGAGAAATCAAAGTTTGAAATTTTATGAATTTTGAAGATAATCTATTCAATAGTTACAATACTTAAGTGGTGCTCAGACTTACCTGTCTACTACACTAAAAATGCCTCAACATTATCTAAACACCAGAAGCAAAACCACTTCATGAGATTATGTTAAATGAGACACACAGAAAGATTATGGGATGAATACGTGCCTACTTAGTAAGATATCGCTGATGTCAGGTAATGGTAGCAGAACAGTTGATGCTTACAATCTTTCTTTGATTAATATTTAGATTAAATTTGCTACGTTTTCTAAGTCCCTCTTCACTCATTGATAAAACTCACAGAAACTCATCTCCCATGTATCAGTTACATATCGCTTTTGTTCAATTAAAGTACAAAAAAACCCCAGAACATTTCATGAGATTTTGTTAAATGAAACATATTGTGCCCCTCTTCAGCAAATCAATGAAAGCCTCACATGTCCTCACAGTGTGTCTTTCAGTTCTTCAGCTTAAAATACAGCAAAGGTGGTTCATCTCACCGTGGCTTTCGAACCACCGGCTGCAAAATTGTTCTAAACAGGTTGTTTTGCTCTGAAAACCGCTGAGCTGCTGCTTAGTTAGTTAGGTGTTACACAGAACCTGGGTTGCATTCTTGCTGCCTTGTAAACCTGAGAGGATAACCAGTTGTGGGAGGGGACTTAGGAATTGCAGAAGTAACCATCTTTATATCATAACTGCTCACATTTTACACCTCCAATTTTACAACAACCCCAAAACACAATAAAAATTGATTTTTTTACCATGAAGTGTCCACCTCTCTTCCATCAAGCCCTCTGCACTCGCTCACCAGCTCACCGACGACTCTGCAAAACACCACACGGACATCTTTAACAACTAAAAAAAAAACGTGAATTTTATCAGAAGGATCTTTAAGACTATCATCCGTTTCCTTCATTAAAGCACCTCCTATCATAACGTGTGTTTTTGTACATTCTGTCTAGGCTATTTCTTAGCGAATTAACTACACTATTTTTTCTTTTTTCCAGCCCATTACATGTAAGTCATATTTCAGCTTCTTCTAGATGGCAGAAGAGTTACTGCATGAGCTCATCTTGCAGTAATTCCAGCCTGAACTTCACAGTGAATGAATGTATAAGCAAGTTGTCGGGGTGGTACAAGCAAAACAGACTGTATTGATTATATCGCACTTTTAGTTAAGGAGTGTGCACTGCTGAATCTTTTTGCAGTCAGACGGGTTGTGCGCACACGGGGCGAAGGAGTGTGATGGAGGAAGGTTATTCCTTCATTCTATGGCGCCATGTGTGGAATGCCAAACGACGAGGGATGCGGGGGGTTCGGGGAGGCGTGTGTGTATGTGTGTGTGTGTGTGTACTATATATACGAGTAGCACACCAGCCAAAGTTTTCATGAAATCTTAAGATTCTGCTGACACTGCAGTTTGGGAAAACAAAGAGAGAATTGATTCCTCCAAGTGCACAGCACAGTCCTATTAT